CTTTCAATCATCACTACTGTATAAGTTAATTATCTGGTTAAAAACAGTCAGTGAAGTGACATTCAGGTTAATTGTCCAGTGTTGCCAATCTGCATGCTTTTTGTGTTGCAATTGTATCTAATGAACCATTCTTCCTTTTTTGGGGGGAAAAATGCTGAGGATAAGAATTACTAGTCTCCCCATGTTCAACTTTTGCGTCTAACAACTCCTTTTCTCCTAGGCTGCTTTCTTGGCGATGAAGAGCAAAGGAGGGAAGCTTATGGTGTTTCAATCAGGTATGCTACTCACTCTATTTGGTACTTTATATATTAAGGTATGTTGATGCATGCGCTTCCAATCAAGTAGAATCCATCTATGTGCATTGAAAATCATATATTATTAGAAGCACTTGCTCTCACTTCTTATTGTTCAGTACCTGTATAACTAAACTGATATGATTACCATCTTCTCCATAGTTTTGTGTTCTATTGGTGTTGGAGCACTTTCTTCTAGAGAAACCGAAGGGAGAGCTAATATGTCTGCCGGTGAAAAGGTAAACATGCTTTTTTGTTTCGGAGATTGTTGTGGTTCATTACAGAATATTTAATTGTCCTGTAATTTTAATTTCAGGAGGCCCATAAATTACTTCAACCAGCAGACAAAACTCTAAGGGCCATGGCTATTGACTTAGCTGAATACCAGGTATACCAATAGGATGATGTTCGAATTTAACTGATAGAGTGTCCCCATCTGCTTATCAATAATCTACAATGTATCATTTTCTCTTAGTTGCAATATTGTGTCCTTATCTAAGCCATCCATAAATGTATCAGGTCTGTGTAGACATATTTATCACAACTCAGGCCTATGTTGACATGGCATCAATTTCCGTCATTCCAAGAACTACTGGAGGACAGGTACATTCCAATATTCCATATCTTTTCTGATTGTCAACATCGTCTGATTTATTTGTTCCTATTGTTAGTTGTAGCTAGCTCAGTTTAATAACAATTCTTGTTACCAGAATCTTTCTTTTCTCTACAAGTCGAATGCATATTTCTGTGGAAGCTTTGTAATCCATACTGACATAGTCTCTGAAAGTCTTGATTATTTGATCCATCTCTTTAATGGTTATCCTTATTTGTAATGCACAAGCTTGGTGTCTTGGTTTTGTGGAACTTTGACCTTTCCATGGTAAATTATTTTCTCCAGGTGTATTGTTATTATCCTTTCTCAGCTCTCTCAGATCCTCCCAAGCTTTACAACGATCTTAAATGGAATATTACTAGGCCTCAGGGTTTTGAGGCTGTCATGCGAGTCAGATGCAGCCAGGTATGTTTTTGTGGTGGAGAGTTTTCGTCATGCATTACTCTGTAAACTCCAGCTTAAAGCTATTTTCCTGTAAACCACCGTTTCCAATAATTGTAGGGTATTCAAGTGCAAGAATACTCAGGGAATTTCTGCAAACGTATTCCTACTGACATTGATCTACCAGCGGTAGGTGGATCCTCCTTAAATATTCCCTCTAATTAGTTTTTGGGTAGCATTGTCAATATTATTGAAAACATATTTCTGTAGGCGGTCCTCTGTGAAAGTTGTTGAGTCTGGAATTATAGATAGATAAGATTCAACTGCTATGCTGTTTAAGTTAAGACAATGTTATCAGTAGGAAAACACATGATTCTTTTGCTGCAAGTTTACCATGAGATGTGCTATGGTATAAACTCCTTTTGTTCTTGACAAACCTTAATTGCCATTGCAGATTGACTGTGACAAAGCTGTAATGGTGACGTTAAAGCATGATGACAAACTACAAGATGGAGCTGAATGTTCTTTCCAGGTATATTTTGTATTCATATACTTCGCGAAAACTGTTGGTACTCTGTCTCATTTAGGATGATGTTAATTTATGCTCGTTCTGTGTTTTTTTTTTCCAGTGCGCCCTTCTGTATACTACTATATATGGAGAAAGAAGAATTAGGGTTACCACATTATCACTCCCCTGTACGAACATGTTAAGTAATTTGTTTCGTGCAGCTGACTTAGATTCTCAATTTGCTTGTATGCTGAAACAAGGTAGGTCACTGTTTTCGATGTTGATTCTACTGCTAATTGTGTTGTCATTTTGTATCAATATCTGTGTTTGTTTTCTTTCTATGCAGCTGCTAATGAAATCCCTTCAAAGGCACTTCCATTGGTAAAAGAACAAGCAACTAATGGCTGCATCAATGCACTCTACGCGTATCGTAAATTTTGTGCGACAGTAACATCATCTGGACAACTTATTCTTCCCGAGGCACTCAAGCTTTTGCCATTATATACTCTCGGTATTGTGACTTTTGTCTTCTCTAAGCTAATTAACACAACTTCAGGTTCCCTTGTGTGCAATGCAAATTGTTTCCTTCCCTTTTCTTAAATTAGAAGTGAATGTTTATTGTGTTTCACCTGCTATGTGTGCTTACTTTCAAGTGATGTTAAGTGACTATTGTTTTCCTTTTCTGCTAATGTTATGGTAAGTATCTAGATGAAGGCATTGTAATATATTTGCTACCTACCATACTGAGCTGCAAGTTAGATACCTTAATTCTTTCAGATGTTTTTGAAACCTGTTCTGTGTGAATTACAAGTACTAATTGTTTTACTTGTTATCTCGTTTCTCTTATATATGGTAACTGTTAAATGCAACATATTGCATGTGGCTTATCAGGATCGTATAGCTTCCTAGGACAAGAATAATAGGAAAAAATGTTGATTTGGGGATATTTATTTCAAAAATTGGTTTTCTTTCAGCATTAACCAAAAGTGTGGGTTTGCGAACGGATGGGAGAATTGATGAACGATCATTCTGGATCAACTATGTATCTTCCCTTTCTACTCCTTTGGCAATCCCACTGGTTTATCCCAGGATGATTTCTGTTCACGACCTTGATGCGAAGGTATGATGGAGCTACTTTTAGTTGACATATCTCTCTCAAGCCTTAATATGCAACCTGTGAAAGTGTTGATTATTCTTGCTTTTTATTATATCAGGACAATGAAGGATCGGTTCTTCCTCCTCCAATCCCATTGTCAAGTGAACACATAAGCAATGAAGGAGTCTATTTTCTTGAGAACGGTGAAGATGGTCTACTATATGTTGGTGAATCAGTGGACTCTGATATCCTACAGAAACTTTTTGCTGTTCCATCAGCTGCTGAAATTCCTAGCCAGGTAATCTCAACTTTTCTCTTCAATAGCACATGAAATACTTTATCGAAACCATGAAAGAGGAAGAAGCATTGTCAAATCCTGCTAAGCAAGGCTTGCCTGTCGTTTCTTTACAGTATGTGCTGCAGCAATATGATAATCAGCTATCAAAGAAGTTCAATGATGTGGTGAATGAAATAAGGAGACAAAGATGCTCTTACCTAAGGTATCAATCAAAAGTCTAAGCATCTGTCTTCTTTTTCTCCTAACCAAGTAGAAGATAATTGTTTCCAGCCTAATCCTTCCAACCTCTTTATGTTTTCTCTACGCAGCATAAAATTGTGCAAGAAGGGAGATCCATCAGGTGAGTAATTCTGGGTGTATTTCAAATTACCTCTTAACATTCTGTGGATTTCAGATTGTATTTGTGACAGCAATTGGTCTCTGCACCTACAAAGGCTTCATGTTGTTTATCTTTCCTGGTTTTGCAACATGATCAGTCTTTACGCCTATAGTAACAGCATAACTCCTGTCTGCAGCTAGTACCAATGTCTAGTTTCATAGTCTTTAAGCAGCTGGAACATTCCGAATTTAGAGTTATCTCCTTGGGAATGGCTTGTTCATGCGTAGGGAAAACATTTCTGTACAAATCATGTTTAATTAGGAGTTGCATAGCATATCCTTATTAGATTTCATGAACATGGAATGTTGCTTACTCGGTAGTGTTCTCGAAAAATTTCTTCTGATTAATTGGTACTTCTTCAGGAATGCTGTTCCTGTCGTATATGGTAGAGGACAGAACAGCAAGCGGCCCATCGTATGTGGAGTTTCTCGTTCAAGTCCACCGCCAAATCCAGCTCAAAATGAACTGATCTTCTCTTTTCTAGGACACCTTACAAAAGTTTCTCTGCGTCATGTTCAGAATTTACAGTAGAATGGCACAGCAGCAAGGGAAAGAACGTTGTTATGACCGCTTGAGAAGTTTTCTTCTTCTTATTGAAAGGGAAGAGAACGTTGTTATGACAGCATGGACTACTTCAACTTGAGAAGTTTCACTTCATTTTGAAGGTGTACTTTAGATTATAGTCTCCACTTTTGTTTTGTTTTTTAAAAGAAATTATACAAAAGAGTCTTTATCTAATTCATTTTGAATAAAGAACTTATTTTGTGTGTATGTGTTTTATTTAGAGAAGCTCGAACTATAAGACTTTCTTTTCAGATAAAGCTTTTAGTTATTGGATGTTGTTGAAGGGGACAAACTAAAGTTTAATGTACAATGAAGCGTAAAATATAAAATTATTGTTTTTCAGGATTTTCAGTTTAG